CCCAAAACCCCAAAACCCCAAAACCCCAAAACCCCAAAACCCCATGAGTTCAATTAATAACTATTTTTAATGATTTTATATTAATAACCTTTAATAATTATTTCTATGCATTTTAGAGAGACAAATTTTAATATTTCATAGTCTTTTCTTGGGCTAAATCACACTTTTGATCTCGTCATGGGTATTAAGGATTTCTTTTTTAATCTGGGAAAGTTAATCCTTGCTTATCACCCCAGTTCCACCAGACAACTCATTTTGTTTCAATCTACTTATAGGCTGATCTAATGATTGCCTTTGAACTCTTTAAAGAGCTATCGATTTAGTGACTAACGAGTTTGTTAAGTTTGAACTCTGATATTTATTGCTTCTCTTGAGAATTGTAGACTCTGTATTCATCAATAGACTAGTATTCAATCCTTGACTAGTACCAGCACTAGAGCTACTAATTGAAAGTTAACTATTGTTCCTTGACATCCTACCATCAACTACTAAATTGTTTTTATCTAATAGAGGCTTTTGGAGATGGACTGATGCTGAAGGAGCTTCATGCTTCAACGAAGAAGTTCTTAAATTGTCTTTTACAGTTTATGCTCTTGAATCCTTAATCTTCTCTTCACTATTCTCTTACTTACTTGTATTTTCGACTGTGATTAGGTAGCTTTTAAGAGAATGTTTAGGTCTTTCATTGCTTGAGTTGGTTTGTATAACTACCTAATCATCATCTGTACTTTAATTAGTCTAATTAGGTACTGCAAGATGATTACTGATAGCTTATTTTACTGGTTATCTTTGTGTTAGTGCTTGTTATTTCAACTGCTCTCTTTTAGGTGCAATTGATTCAATTTTTGAAATTTTATCCTTTTCTTTCTAAATTTAGGAAAGTTGCGAATCAGATACTTATGAGGGTGATTTTTTATGGCTAATTTATTGTTTGACGCTTTACTATTGTGGCTTCTTAATAACCTAATTTTGTTGCTTGCTTATCTGATTTGAAGGCTTTTATTAGCTTTGCTAACTTGACTAATTCTAGCTCTATAACTAGTCATTGAATGAGAACTCTCTTGACACTGGTTTAGGAACAGATTCTTTTTGGTTAGTCGATTATAAAGTATTATTCAAAGTTATATTTTAAGAACTATTAAGAGAGTGCTTGTTGTCCTTATTTTTTGGATGCTACATTTTTAAGACTTTAAATTCATTAATTTTTTAATCTTAAGATAGCTCTTCTCTATTTTCTCTTAACTACTGCAATTAAGATTTTGGTGCGACTTATTGATTGAATACTTGCTTAATGTTAGGCTAAGATTGAACATGGTCTTTTTTAGCTTATTCAACTTATTTAATCTGAATTTTATTATGATCTTATCTGGGAGAAGCAAGTGCTCTTTTAACTTCCATAAAATCTTTAACCAGACTTTATCTCTCTGATCTTGCTGATTAAAGTGCAGGCTAAAATATTGTTGATCTTCTGTTACTATTCAAAGGTTTTAAAGTTTATTCTAGATTCTTTTGCTGAGGTTAATTTTTAAGAACATTCTAAATTTGATTGCTCGTCATGTCAACTGACTTATTATTGCTTCTTCTCTTATCTTATGACTGAGCAATTTCAGCTGGTTTTTCAATTATTACTTCGACATTATCAAGAGGTGTTGGCTATGGTGGATTTTATCTTGGTCTTATTTCATTACTCTCTTGCCGACTATGAGGTAATAATTTGTTTTCCTTTATTTCTGTGTAACTGGTCAATTGATTTTGAAGGAACTAAGATTAAGAAATCGGTGCATCAATTGATTTAGATAATGGATTATCAATCTTTTTAAACAAAATGGTTTATTTCTAAGGAATAGGTTCCTCAATTTTGTTCTCAAACTTTTGATTTTTAAGGGGGGTTTTATCTACATTTTTATCCTTTGAATACTAAGACAGGAAACTATTAGAAGTGATATTAACACTTTATCTCTTTTTAGTAAGCTCGTCCTTTTCAATTTTCTTTATTTCATTTACTTTTTTTATTGCTACATCATACCCATCATTTGCATTTGAATTTTTAGATTCTCTTCCAGTCTGGCTTGATTCATTCATCCTAGATTGGATATAGCTTTTTATGTTACTTTAGCTTTTCCTAGTCTAGGATCCTGACTAAAGAACTGACTATCTTCTCTATTGATTAGGCAAAGATTGCTTTATTGGACTGTTCTAACTGATTCTTGAATCTTAAGAAGATTAACCGACCCCATCGTTGATATTTTAATTTCTTTAGCTCATTGTCTATTTTTTATTTAAACTTTCCGATTAAGCTTTCATGATTTCACTTTAAATCTACTTTTGATCTTGGATTACAGGTTGCAATTGTTGAATTTACTTTTTATCCTATTATTATCTTACTGGTGATTTATTCATATTTTTCTTTTAGCTTGAAAGTTGCTTAACATCTTGAACTTTGCTATTTCCCTCATCTTCAAGAACTTCTGGGGGGCTCTAAAATCTCGAAATAGCATTACTTTTAGTCGCATTTTGAAATTCTTTCTTTTCTTGTTAACTTGGAGTTTCCCATTATACATTTTATTGCTAAAATGGATTGCTTGATTTACCACTATCATCTTTTAAGTTCTGTTGAACTAAAATTCTCTGAATCTTTTCTGGCGATTAGAAACTTATTGTTGAATCTCTATTCATTGATCCACCACTCTTACTTCTATTTCTTGACATGTAATCCCTCTCCCTGTTGTAATTCTGGAATATTTCATTTGCTTTTTACTCTGTCAGACTTTCCTTTAGTTCTTTTGTTGGAATAAGTTTGTAGTAGGATTTCTCTTCATAAGATTGCAAGAGTTTAAATTTATCACTATTACTATACTTTCTTGGAGTTCTTTGAGATGGTTATGAGAATGTCTTTTCAAGTTTTCTCATGGATCTTTCCTCTAATACTTTTTGAATAGCAGCAGTTGTAGTATCAAACTTTATGGATTTTTCACTAAAGTCATCATTATCTTTTGGTTTCTCAGTTATTGAGAACATTTGCCTAAATTTATCAGGAGAATTCTTAGATTAGTTGCTATGATAGTTATCATTCTAATATCTTCTGTTCTTGAATTCTGTGGATGCTCTCAAAGATTTGCTACTACTATTCTCTTGTTTAGAATGCTCATTCTCGCTAACTTTTTCTTTTACTTACTTCTTTAAACTCTCCATTCTTTTCTCTTCAATAGTAAGAGGAATTTCATCTATCATCCTTTTTGGCAATGGTATACCCACTTTGAATTTTTACTGTTTTAATGCCAATCTTTTGAAAAACCAGTGTTAAATTCTTAGAGCTGCTTTTTGCAAGAAGTAGATATTCAGTCGATACTTTTTGAAATGGACATGCTTCACAGCAAGATATGTCTCAATTCCCAGACCTCCACTTTGAGAACCAAATGATGTCCAATGTTGCTATTAGAAACGTCTTAACACTGACAGAGCATCAAGTTATGATATTAATACCTAAGTTTTTTAGATTTTATCTTCTTTAATTGGAGAATTGAGCATTTAATTTTACAAATCCTTACTGCTGTTTTAATTTTTTGTTTCTGAAGCCAAAATAAATGGGTTATTACTTGACAAATTTAGCTATGCTTTGATTATTTTTTTATCTTTACCTCCTTTATCTTACCCTTGTAAACTTTATCGCTCTGACTAACCAGAAAAACTGACTTCATTTTTAATATTCTTTTCCTGAATTTACTTATTCTCTCCATTTTCGAAAAGATCAACAGTGACTGCTTATTTAGGATGATTCGGGTTGTTATTTGATTTCGACCTCATCAATTTCTAGTTGTATTATTTTTTGAGTGGCTAATTTTAATTCTGATTTAATTTATCCTTGCTTTCTTTGTCCAATGCATTTACTCCCTTCTTTTAGTTCATATGAGATTTCATTGTAGAGGCCGAATGACTAAATTTACTAAACAATGCTTATCAAATAATTATTTTATTATCATCTTGCAAATAAATTTTAATTCAGCAACAAGGGGTTTTGGGGTTTTGGGGTTTTGGGG